GCTGAAGCTGCTGGCACACGGCGCAACTGGAGCAACTGGCACACGGGCAATTGGAGCAACTGGCACACGGGCTGCTGGAGTAACTGGCTCCGCGGCTAACTCTGAGCGACAGGAGCAACGGACTCACGGGCGACTGGAGCAACTGGCTCACGGGCGACTGGCGCAATGGGCTCACGGGCGACTGGCGCAATGGTCTCACGGGCGACTGGAGCTGCGGGCTTCACGGCGGCCACCCCCCTTCAACCTCCCCAAACTATCCCACCCCCCTTTCACACACCCCCTGCTGCACCCTAGGTTCACTCACACCCCACCCCATAGCACCACTCCGTCGACTCCCACACACCCACCCCCCTCAGCGGCAGCTGCAGCAGTGGGAGACAGAGGAGGAGGAGGAGCAGGGGAGACCACACACCCGCCACCCCCTACTCGCCACCCCCAAACCCTAACACAGGGCAGGGCGGGATGGCGGGTAGGGAGGTTACGGGGGGGGGGGGGGGGGGGAAGGGGGGCCGACGCGCGGCCTCCAAGGGCGCCAAAGCAGGCGGCAGAAGGGGCGACGCTCGCCCCCCCTCCGAGGTCGCCCCTCAGGTCGCCTCGACAGGCGACGGGAAAAGAGGGGGGGGGGGGGCGGTGCACGGGCCCCCGGTGCACCGCGATAGGCGACGGAGCATGGCCGGGGCGGGGCCGGGGCAGGGTCGAGGAAGGGCCGAAAGGGGCGGCGACGGGGCCGCAAGTGGCGGCGACCGGGCCGCTGGAGGCGGCGACGGGGCCGATAGGGGCGGCGACGGGGCCGCTAGGGTCGGCGACGGGGCCGATAGGGGCGGCGACGGGGCCGATAGGGGCGGCGACGGGGCCGATAGGGGCGGCGACGAGGCCGCTAGGGTCGGCGACGGGGCCGCTGGCGGCGGCGACGGGGCCGATAGAGGCGGCGACGGGGCCGCTAGGGTCGGCGACGGGGCCGCTGGCGGCACCAACGGGGCCGATAGGGGCGGCGACGGGGCCGTTAGGGGCGGCGACGGGGCCGCTGGCGGCGGCGACGGGGCCGATAGGGGCGGCGACGGGGCCGCTAGGGTCGGCGACGGGGCCGCTGGCGGCGGCGACGGGGCCGATAGGGGCGGTGACGGGGCCGCAAAGGGGCCGCGAGGGGCCTGAGAGGTCGGCGACGGGGCCGCTGGCGGCGGCGACGGGGCCGATAGGGGCGGCGACGGGGCCGCGAAGGGGCCACGAGGGGCCTGGAAGGGCGGCGACGGGTCGCGAAGGGCCCGCGAGGGGCCTGACAGGGGCGGCAACGGGGCCGCGAAGGGGCCGCGAGGGGCCGAGAAGGGCGGCGACGGGGCCGCGAGGGGTGGGCGACGGGGCCACTAAGGGTCGCGCGAGGGGCACGCCACGGGGCGTGCAGAGCACAGAGTAGCAGCGGAAGCAGTTAGGTGGGCCCACAGGCCAGGAGCGTAGATGCTCTGATAGCATATTAAAAATGAGGAATGAAGAAGAGAGAGGGTTGCACTAGCAGCAGTTGGCATACATATAGGAAACCCTAACTGGGTTGTACTCGCTATAGAGTACCCCACTGCAGGCTAGACAATAATAACATTCTGACAGAAGCGTCCCGAATGGGTCATTCCCAAATTGAGTAGAGACTCTTGGTATAATCACACGTTACGCAAAGTTACGCAATGATGAAACGAAATGCACATAATCCGGTGCATGTAACCTGTTCGGTGCCTAAAACTATAATATCTATAGTAAGGCAACGAAACTAGGAAAACAAGCACACGAAAATAGAAATAAGCAAAATAATGCGAGGTAAATTGGATATAGGTAAGCATATGCACTGTACTTCCACAGCGTGCTACTTCCATCACCTCGACGACCTCTTCCACGCCCACTTTGGGCCTATGACTGGCCTGCGCTGTTACGTAGTGCTTTGACTATATTTTATATTAACATATCTTAGATAGGATCTACTTTGTTTGCCATGTAAGGTGACGTCTCAAGTGCTGCCAAAATTATAATATTTGAATGTACCTAGACTATGATCTCCTGATGTGTCTAATGTAGGATCTTCAGATGTTCCCTCACTAGGTTTGTCCACTATCGATGCGTCCCTCTCCTTCACTTTGGAGTCTGGTGCGTCCATGTGCTTCTTTCGCAATCGCTCCACCCTCTCACCGCTTCTAGTTCCTGTCGCAGTCTCCTTAGCCGACCCCTTCCCTGGACTGGTCGTCACACGCAACACTACTACAACTTAGTGCCTGGTAGTCCCGTCTGGCTCGCAAGTCTGCACACCAATTTGTTCTCCACGAACTTGGTGATTGCCAATCGTCTTCATGACTTTGGCATGGCCATCACGTTTCCAGGACACGAGCGGCCCCCGACCTGTACCGACGCTACCATTGAGGCACCTATTGTCACGTTCCCCCAGGACTCGGCGCCATGTATTTTCATGCTGCGCACTGGGTCCATCCGGATAATTGCGTCTGGTCAGGCAGTTGCGCTGTGCTCGTGTCGATTGTTCACTCAACTGTCGCTGTTGTGGCACCACTACCTAGGTTACTTCGCCCTCCCGCGTCTCCGTTACATTGCTCAGTGATGTCTTGTCTTTGGTCTCCCGTTGCCGCTCCCCGCTCTCCCTCCCCCGTCGGCACCATCGTGCACCCCTTCCGTTGAGAGCAGGTAGCACGCTGTCCCTCACTCCTCTTCATTCCCCCCCTCCCACTTGGCCTCTTCATACCTACATAGACGTCTCGGGCCCTGCCCCTATCGTGGGCCGTGCTGGGAGCGATCTGGTGATTCTAGGCGACTACTCCCACTACACAACAGTGTTGCTGCACATATATACATACCATATCAGTAGAGCTGGACATATATAATACGAAGATAACTCGATCAACGGGAGCTAGTCTATGGTCTAGGCACGGGGTAGGAGTGATCCCTGAGTTTGTTCCTTTGTCGTTTGTTTGTGCTTGCACTACTTGCTCGTTCACAAGGAGCTTTGGCAAGAGTTTCGCTAGCAAAAGTTCACAAAAAAATGGTTCGGAATGATAGCAACAAAGTTGGCAAAGCTGACTACATCAGAGCTAGCAAGAATGCAGGTCGACTGCCAGCGCAGCCCGGTCGACCGCGTTCCAGCACGACAAGGTCGACAGCGCTCCAGCAGAGCAAAGTCGCGGTCTGCCAATGGTGCAAGTCGACGGCGTGCCAATGCTGCAGCAAGGCGGTTGCATAGCGTTGCACCCGCAGGACAGCAGCGCACCCACTTCGCAGGCGCTCGCAATTGATTGGCGTGCTGTTCCTCGTCACCCGCACAGCGCAGACACCAAGTCGTCTATGTGCTGTCGACTGCACCTGAGAAGCCACATCGACCTCGGGATACCACCTCCGAGGTCGACTTCGCCAGAACCACCTGGGCGACCGTCACGTGCCTTAGCAGAACCTCGTCACCTAGATAACATGGTCGACCCGGATACCACTAGGTTGGTGTCGTATGCTTCCGCAGAACCTCGTCACCAAGGTAACTTGGTCGACCTGAATATCACCAGGTCGGCGTTGACTTCCTTGGGGAAACTCGACCGAATGTTATACGTGCTCGTCGACCACCGAAGTCGACGACCACCCGCCGATTTCACCAAGTCGGTCATCCTACAGGTCGGCCCAAGTTGGTGTCGCCCACTGCTGCAGGTCGGCTGTACCTCCCACTCACCCGACCACGAAGTTGGCTCCGCCCAAGCGAGGACGGGGCCAACCACAACTTCCGTTGACATACGTTTCACAAATCCTGATAACGACGTATTGCATATCCCCTCCCCTTGGCGCATGTTGGTGCGATGTGGCGCACCAGATCTATAATGTAAGAGGTCGCACCAATATGGTGGATCTGCTTGAACCAGGTTACGCCAAAGTGCACCAGTGCGATGTGGTGTACCATGTCACATTTGCGCGCAGCAATTGCTTGCAAAGTTTCCACCAATACATACCAACTTGTCCCCAATATTTGAATTGGAAATATGGCAATCAGAAGAATCGCAAGCCCATTCAGTTTTGCAACTTCGTCCCCGCGCCGCATACCTATCTTGTACAAAGCAAACAAGAAAACCTCATTCATAAACAAAGCTCAACAGTCATGAAGTAACCATGAACATAAGAGATTAGCAAATTACGGTAGCTTCAAAACAGATTGAGTAAGAAGCTAATAGCAGGAAATACCACAACGGCCTTCTTCTAAATGAGCCTAGTCAAGCTCTTACTAGCGAACCACACGTGCATATAGCGGGTACTCCCAGAACATGCAATTTGGATGTCGACAAACCCTAGGTCAGATTATCTCAAGGCTGCTCAGGTTGTAGCCCCAAGATATAGTCCTCGGCGACTCCTAGGCTCAGGCAGTCCCTGGAGAGCCGCAACACGCACACTCAGTCTAGTGTTCATTAGGTTCCGGAACTTCTCCTAGTTGTTCTTAAGTTTGACCTGGGTGTAAGAGTAGTCGATGTTAACAAAGGTCGTACGAATTCCATGGGTTAATTTATCTGCAGATGTTCCGGTTCAGTGACTGGAAAGGTAAAGACTACAATCGATGCCTGTCAAGATTGGTGCGGCACAATTTCTGGTTTGTAGCCATTGATGTTTTAGAAACTCCACCCATCCCTACCTGAACGTCGGTGCGCTCGCCTGGTCAGAACTCCGTTTTTGCTGTTTTCTGATTATATTTTGGATAGTTCACTTAACAGCTGTCCTGATTGCAACTCTGCTCGTGCATAATGTCGTCATGTCGCCAATGCTCTTCCCCATCGGGATTAGCTTGACAGATTGGCGGTATTGCCGACCCACCATGGTCTAACCACATCCTCGCTCGAAACTGACAACAACCAGGCACCATCGCTAACATTGCTAGTCGGTTTGACGAGTTAGCAGTGCCGGTCGGTACCACGGCGGTGCTGATCGGTACCACCTCGGTGCTGGTCGGTACCACAAGTTAGCAGTGCCGGGGTTGCAGCGGTACCGTCATGGATGTGAAGCCCGTGCTGACCAAATGCGCGGGGAAGCGGTGGGAAAGCATCGGTTCCGCATCAACAACCTCTCCACCGCAGCCGGCCACTTCTCACCCACAACCAGCCACCTCGCACCCACACCTATCCGATTCAGCGAATTCCGACTCTGAAAGCAGCAAACCAAGCCGATCTCTCCTGTCCATTTTCCAGCGGGCGAAAGTTGGTGGTGGTAGCACCAGCACTGGTGGTGGTAGTCCTGCTCGCGGGACTGCTGGAGCCTCGGGAGGAGCAGCCTCGGGAGGAGCAGCCGCAGGCAAGAAGAAGGAAAGCAGATCGCCGGAGAGTAGCAATAGTCGTATCCCCGTTATAAGTTCTGCTCATTCCCGGTATACAGACGGAACGAGTGAGGATGCGTCGCCGCAAGCTGCTAGGCCGCGGGGAGCAGGCACTGCGTCAGAACCGGTTGAAGACTATGCAGTTCCAGGCGGTAGCTCGCGCCCTTCCAGCGGTAGCAGCGCCAGCAACAGCACCAGCAACAGCACCAGAAACAGCATCAGCGACAGCACCTGGAACAGCACCAGCGACAGCAGCAACAACCCCTCCGTCTCCGGCAGTAGTGGTGCCTCCTCGCGGTTCTCTCTCTCCCCGCCTCGAGATCCGTACGGGGACGCGCGAAAGATCAGCAACCGCTACTGCGTCTGGGACGATCGGCAGAAGGTCTGGTACCGCTTCGAGGGCCAAAGCAGAGTGTACTGGAAAGTCGCAGCTGGCAAATCGCCTCAGGAGGGCGAATGGGTCGCACTGCCTTATGAAGACGAACGACCGAAGGTGGACCTGGTCAGTAAACCGGGTTTCAACGCGCCTGTACGAAGCTCCACGCGTGGCATTAGTCGGACAGCAAGCGGAGACGGCGGCGCGGGGAAGAGCAGCGCGGGTGCGGAGGACGGGGAGAGGCGGAGGCGGCCGGATTCTATGTCAGGCGGGGGTCGGGGGGGTAGTGACTCCGCCAACGCGTGGAGTTTCGTGAAGGAGCAGGAGCTTACGACGGACACGGAGCAGGAGCTGAAGGCGCTGCAAGCAGGCCCGGACCCCAGCCTCGCGTCCTTGCATGTGTCCAAGTCCTTTCCGCCGGAGGTGGGCAAAGCAGCAGCGCCGAGCGCGGCAGGCGCGGTGGGGGGGAGGGGGAACCTGGGGAACCTGCAGCCGCTGCCAGTCGCGCCCCCTACCGTGCCATCTGGCGCGTCTTCTCCGCGCAGCGGCCCCTCCACGCCGCCTGAACCATCAGCCATGGGAGCTGCAGGAAGAGGAGGATTAGGAGGATTAGGAGGATTAGGAGGAGCTGGAGGATTAGGAGGAGCAGGAGGAGCAGGGCTGTACGGTTCTTCCCCTTCGAAACAGCCGTTGGAGCACAGGTCTCCCCATCCGCACACCGTGTCGCCAGACAGACGGGGTCAAGCCTCCAACCCCCTGCCCCTCCCTCCCGCCAGACAAGTAGGCGCGCTGGGCTCAGGACCAATGGTCGTGAGAATGGAAGCACCGGCGCCAGGTGTAGGCCCAGGTGTAGGGTCAGGTGTAGGGTCAGGTGTAGGGTCAGGTGTAGGGTCAGGTGTAGCAGCAGCACCAGGGCCTGTCCGCGCGCTCTTCCCCGTGCATTCCTCCCCTTCCCGGGACCTCGAAGCCGTTTCTGTGAACCATGCGCCGTCTCACGAGGCTCCGCCGTCAATCCTCGTAGGTCGAGGAGCAGCAGGGGGCGTGGGCGGTGCTGCTGCTGGTGCTGGTGGCACCGGTGGTGCTGGCGGGTTTGGTCGTGCTGATGGTGGGTTTGGTGGTGGTGATGGCGGTGGGTTTGGCGGTGGTGGGGGAAGTGGGGGTGTTAGTCCTCTCGCGCGAGGGAGATCCGTGTCTACATCTGGAGCGCCCGGTGGCGGATCTCAGGGGCACAGCCCGCGGACTCCCGCGCCCTCTCCTATGGATGGAGCTGTAGCAGCTGTAGCAGCTGTAGCACCTGTTGCGTCCGCTTCAGCTGGCACTTCGCCGTCTGGCCGCCACAGAATGTCCCCGCCAGCAGGAGTGCCCTTTGGTGCTCCGCCTGTTGCCGGGAACCCTGCTGCGTTGAATCGGCAAGGAAGTGGAGGGGTGGGTGGGGGATTCGGAGGAGGGATGGGCGGGAATATGGGCGGAGGAATGGGAGGAAGCATGGGCGGAGGAATGGGAGGGAACATGGGCGGAGGTATGGGGGGAGGAATGGTCGGAGGAATGGGGGGCAACATGGGCGGTGGTATTGGGGGAGGAATGGGCGGAGGAATGGGGGGAGGGATGGGGGGAGGACTGGGCGGAGGAATAGGGGCAGGAATGGGGGGAGGAATGGGCGGAGGGATGGGCGGGGGCGGAATGGGGGGAGGGCTGATAGCAGGAGGAATGACGCCACCAGGGGGCATGATGACGCCACTAGTAGGAGGTATGGCAACCCCACCCGCTAGCAGCTCCAAGCTCTCAACTCGATCTGCATCCCCCTTCCGAATCAAACCTCTCGTGCCCAAGCTCGAGCCCCTCCCAATCTCCACCACCAAATCCCCCGTTGCCTCCCCCAGAGCCGCCACAGACAGGCCGCCGCTGCCCTTTGAACCTTCTCAGAACCCACAGAATCCGATGTTTCCCAAGTCGGCAAGCCAAACGTCCACCCCCGGCCAAGTGTCGAGAGTCGGCTCGATGAATGATGGGCACGGGAGGGATGTTAACGGGCTGCCCGGAGGAGCAGGGTTCGGGCAGCATTTCGGGCAGCCGCAGCCAGGGCAGCAAATAGGTCAACAGTTTGGGCAGTCAGGGCAGCAATCAGGGCAGCAGTTGGGGCAGCAATCAGGTCAGCCGTTTGGGCAGCAGTCAGGGCAGCAGTCAGGGCAGCAGTTAGGGCAGCCGTTGGGGCAGCAGGTGCAGCAGCAGCTGGGGAGAGAAGGCATGCTTCCCTGGCAGCAATTTCCCAAATCATCCAGTCAAAGTTCAAACCCCGACTCTTCCCAACCATGGCACCAGCAGCAGCATCAGCAGCATTACCAACAGCAGCAGCAGCCGCAACAGCAGTACCCGCAACAGCAGTTTCAGCCACCGCCGTTCCCCCGAACCTCCAGCCAAACCTCTTCCCACTACCCAACCTCCCCAGGCCAGGCGTCCACCCCTGGAAACCTCTCCAGGGGAGGTTCCACTAACGAGGGCTCCATGCTCGTGCCTCCAGGTGGCTCTCCTATAGTCACAGCAGCAGGCGCTGGAGCAGAAGGTGCTGGGGATGAGGAGGGGGACGGGTGGGTGCCTCAGAGGGGAAGGTGGAAGAAGGGCAGCAGGATAGGGTCGGGAGGATTCGGGTCCGTGTACAAAGGAAGCGACATGTAAGTGTTTCTTAAGACATCTCGATAATTTGTCTCATGGATTGGGTCGAAGGGATTTGGGTCCGTGTACAAAGGAAGCGACATGTAAGTGTTTCGAGGCAGCTCTGATGCTGGTTCAATCCCTCTGTTCCTTTGGTCCTGTCAAGGCGTTCTACGGAAGTCCATTCAAGTCAAGTCAGGTCAACTGTTCCGCGATTGCTTATTTTCCATTTTTCTCCTGCGGGCATCTACAGAATGCCTCGTTCTCGTATCTCTTTTCTCATTCAAGCATTCAGGAGAGAATAACGTTGACTCCTCCTCCCTCACATCTTACATGCCACGTGCTCGTCTGTCTCCCTGATCGCACACAAACACGTTTCTCCCCCTTGTTATATTTGTCTCATCCGCAGAGATACATCACGTGTGTTTGCGGTCAAGGAGGTCAATATCTCGGCTCGGACCATAAGTCGATCTTCCCACCCGCCCCACAGCAAACACCCATGTCTTTCTCTCCCTCCCCTCCATGCTACCTCGTCTCATCCGCAGCGATACATCACGTGTGTTTGCGGTCAAGGAGGTCAATATCTCGGACCACAACTCTATCTCTCAGCTCGTGCAGGTGCGTGGCAGTGGCATTTTGGGCAATGTGTGCATGTGTGTGAGAGGAAGGTTGGGTGTGGGTGTGGGCGGGTGGGTGGATGTGGGTGTGGGTGGGTGTGGTGGGTGTGGGTGTGTGGGTGAGTGGTGTGGGTGGGTGCATGCACGCACATGCAGGTGTGCTCGCACATATGTCTGTCTGGGCCCCTGAACATGCTTGCTCAGACAAAAGCTGCTGCGCCTTCCATTTTCTCATCCGTTTCTGCAATTCTCTCTCTCCCAATCCCCCAACCTCCCCTCCCCACTCCCACCCTACCTGCTTTCACCATCCCACAATTCTCACACTCTCTCATACTCGTGCATGTGCACATAGTGCCCACATGTACGTGGACGTTTTGAGGCCCATGCGTGCATAGCACACTCGCACACACAGATGCACACATGTTGCACTCTCACTTCAAGGATTTTCCACCTCACTTTTCCATCGTCCTCTTCCCCTTCCACTTTCTCCCCCTCACTCTCCCCTTAACCTCACTCCCCCTCACTCTCCACTTAACCTCACTCCCCCTCACTCTCCACTCGCATGCAGGAGATCGATACTTTGAAGAAAATGCGTCACAAGCGCATCGTCCGATACCTGGGCTCGGAAACTGTGAGTTTGGGTCTAGTCCCTAGTTCCAAAACAAGCCTCTAGTCTCTAAAATCTCATGAGCGCATGGTCTGATACCTGGGCTCGGAAACTGTGCTCTTGGCTTGCTTTCTACTGCTGCTTCTAGTCTCTAGATGCTCTCACTCGCACAAACACTTGGATACTGTGAGCTGCTTGTTGCTTTGTTTCGAAAACTGCTTCCAGATGGGTGCAAGCAAGTCCTCGACCAGTTCTCCTTTCCCTGACAAGTGCATGTACCTGTTCGCTGAGTACATGGACACATCGCTCTCCAAGTACCTGGAGGTCTTTGGCCCCTTGGATTAGAGGAGCACCAGGTGTCACTATGCCCGTCTCAAATTACAATCCCCATGTCCATCCCCCTCTTCGCTCCAACCCCTCTCCTCCCCCTCCAGGACGACAAGTGCATTTACCTCTTTCTCGAAGACATGGACACATCACTATCTAAGTATCTAGAGGACTTTGGCCCCTTGGAGGAGCACCACTTGACATGCTTGTGTCTCTCCCCGCCTCCCCTCTCCTTCCATCTTCTCTCCCCCATACCAACCCTGCTCTCCTCTACGCCAGGACGACAAGTGCATGTATCTCTTTCTCGAGTACATGGACACATCGCTCTCTAAGTACCTGGAGGACTTTGGCCCCTTGGAGGAGCACGGCTTGTCACACATTCTTGTGTCTCTCCCCGCCTTCCCTCTCCTTCCTTCTTCTCCTCTCCCTCCCCAGGACAACAAGTGCATGCACCTCTTTCTCGAGTACATGGACACATCCCTCTTCAAGTAACTGGAGGACTTTGGGCCCTTGGAGGAGCTCTGCTTTAAACTCATGCCCGTGTCTCTCCCGGCTGTCATTCTCCTCCACTCTTTCCTCTCCCCGCCAGGACGACAAGTGCATGTACCTCTTCCTTGAGTACATGGACACATCGTTCTCCAAGCACCCAGAGGACTTTGGCCCCTTGGAGGAGCACCGGTTGACATCCTTGTGCCTCTCCCCGCCTTCCTTCTCCTTCCCTCCCTTCTCCCCCCCAGGACGACAAGTGCATGTACCTGTTTCTTGAGTACATGAACACGTCTCTGTCTAAATACCTGGAGGACTTTGGCCCCTTGGAGGAGCACCGCTTGAACCACATTCCTGTGCCCCTCCCCGCCTTGCACTTCCTTCCCTCTCCTTCCTTCTTCTCCTCTTCCCTCCAGGACGACAAGTGCATGTACCTCTTCCTCGAGTACATGGACACATCTCTCTCCAAGTACCTGGAGGACTTTGGCCCCTTGGAGGAGCATCAGATCGCCAAGTACACTCGCCAGCTGCTGGAGGGGCTGGCTTACCTGCATGACAACAACATCGTTCATCGGTGGGTGGTTGAGGAGAAGAGAGGGTTGAGATTTAGGGGCTTGAAAGTGGGTGCTTGGCTCAGCCGTTACCTGAAAGTGGTTCCAGTATAGGGTTGAGGCTTAAGGGCTGGCTTTCGAGTCGACTCAAAAGGCACCTGGAGGACTTTGGCCCCTTGGAGGAGCACCAGATCGCCAAGTACACTCGCCAGCTGCTCGAGGGGCTGGCGTACCTGCATGACCACAACATCGTGCACCGGTGGGTGGGTTAGTAGGGTGGTGTGCGGTTGATGTGGGCGGAAGGTAGGGCTGCTATTGGGAGGCGTTGCTGGAGGGGCTGGCGTACCTGCATGACCACAACATCGTGCACCGGTGGGTGGGTTAGTAGGGTGGTGTGCGGTTGAGGTGGGTGGGTGGGTGGGTGAGTGGGTGGGGGGGCGGGGAACTGGGGGGCTGGGTGGATGACCACAACATCGTTCACCGGTGGGTGGGTGGGCGTGCGTCAGGTTGGTGGGTGCTTGGGTTCAAATGAGTGGCGCAGTTATAATGACTCTGAGGCCTTTCTGCACTGTTCTTTCTTCCCTTTTGTGTCATTATTACTGACTTGCAACCGACAGGGATGTGAAGGGGAAGAACATTCTGACTTTTGAGGCGCCTCAAAAGGCGCAGTTATAATGACTCTGAGGCCTTTCTGTACTGTTCTTTCTTCCCTTTTGTGTCATAATTACTTACTTGCAACCGACAGAGACGTGAAGGGGAAAAACATTCTGCTGGATACCAAGGGAAACGCCAAGCTCGCTGACTTTGGTGTAGCGAAATATGTGAGTCACCTCTCATTCCGTCTCTCCGTTTCAGGGTGTTTTTGAGAATTCTCAAAAACACCCTGCAGAATTCTCAAAAACACCCTGCACTTTGGTGTAGCGAAATACGTGAGTCACCTCTCATTCCGTCTCTCCGTTTCTCCCCACCCTCTCACTCCTCTTTGCCTATCCGCTTCCCCCTCACCTCACAACCCCCCTCTCCATGGCTTTTCATCATTTTCTCTCATTTCCCTTCTCATCGTTTTGTCTTCATGCTCATCTATCATTGCACATAATGTATCACACATCCCACATCCTGAATCCCATCCCACACCACATCACGCATCACAAATCACGCATCACACATCACCCATCGCACATCACCCATCACACATCACGCATCACGCATCACGCATCACACATCACGCATCACACATCCCATACACGGCATGGCACATGGGCAGGTGGAGACGCCATCAGACATGTCGGGCATGCGCGGCACTGTGTGGTGGATGGCGCCTGAGGTGAGTTTTGAGCCCTCACCTCCGCCCCTCTTCTTCCCTTGATTGGGGTCATGGGGTGATTCTGGCATGAGGTGACTATGGCATGTGGGCAGACTCAGGCATGCGCGGCACCGTGTGGTGGATGGCGCCTGAGGTGATTGCGAGGCCCCCCCCCCTGGGTGTTGCATGAGGTGAGCCTTCCCCACCCTAACCTGGGTGAGGCACAGGGTGATTGGGGTGGGGTCCCATCTCCCGAGTGGCACATGAGGTGAGGGCGAGGTGAGAGAGAGAGTCGTACCCAGCCGTACCTCAAGCCTGGTTGGTTGTACTGGCTGGGTAGAACGCGTTAGTACTAGCAGTGCTGGTTGGGTATGCAGGGTACGGTGTGTGTGTGGTGGGTAGTGTCTGAGGTGGATCTGGAGTGGAGTTAACCCGGGTGGGGCATGCGGTGGTGATTCTGGTGTGAGGTTGTGGCTTGTGGGGGCTATGTCATGCCACAGCTTCACGTCATATGCTAAGGCTGTGCCGGTGGTTAAATGCTCATCCTTAGGGATGAGCTGAGCAATATAACGAACTCCTTTTCGGTTCGCTAAATTGTTCGGGGCGAACGTGTTCGGTGTTCGCCCGAACACGTTCGCTGTTCGCCCGGCTCAGCTGGCCGAGGCGCGTCGAACACGAACGTGTTCGTGTTCGACACGGGCCTTCGACAAACACCAATGTGTTCGTCGACGAATAGGCCCGCGACCAATTTTTAGGTCGCGGGCCTTGGTGTTTGGGCTCAGATTTGGCATTTCGCCATTCCTTAAGTGCAGATCGAGCATTTCGCCGTTGCTTAAGTGCAGATCGAGCATTTCGCCGTTGCTTAAGTGTAGATCGAGCATTTCGCCGTTGCTTAAGTGCAGATCGAGCATTTCGCCGTTGCTTAAGTGCAGATCGAGCATTTCGCCGTTGCTTAAGTGCATATCTAGCATTTCGCCGTTGCTGAAGTGCAGATCTAGCATTTCGCCGTTGCTGAAGTGCAGATCTAGCATTTCGCCGTTGCTTAAGTGCAGATCTAGCATTTCGCCGTCACACGCTGGCATTAGCATGGATGAAGCAGGGCGGGACTGGCTTGGGGGGTGGGGGGAGGGAATGTGCAACGATTTGAACTTTTACTCTATTTGGACCTTACAGCCACCTAACAAATATCAACAATGCACAATCCACAAACGTGTGACTTTAGTGAATGTAGTCCCGGGGCAAACACGAACGTGTTTGCCACGAACACGTTCGTGTTCCCCTGCATCAACAAGGTGTTCGCCTTCACAGGCGAACGGCGAACACCCTTTTTTGCTAAAGCTGTTCGGCGAACCGAACAGTGTTCGGTCCGCCGAACGGCGGTGTTCGTGCAGGAGCGAACGCGAACACGTTTGTGTTTGCCTCTTGCTCATCCCTCCTTGCTCTGTTTTGTGTGTGTGTGTGTGTTTTTTTTTTTTTTTTTGCTCCGTTTTGTGTGTGTGTGTGTGTGTGTTTTTTTTTTTTTTTTTTTGCTCCGTTTTTTGTGTGTGTGTGTGTTTTTTTTTTGCTCCGTTTGTGTTCCTTGCTTCATCCATAAAATCCTTGCCTACCCACTTCACTGCCCGCTTCCCCCCAGGTGGTCAACAAGTGGCCGGACGGGTACAACTGGCCGGTGGACATCTGGAGTTTGGGCTGCACTGTTATCGAGATGGCCATGCGGGTTTTTATAAACGCCTGCTCACTTCAACTCCTCGACATCCCCACCCCTCTCTGCCCCTCCGCTCCCTCCTTTCCTCCTCCCAGGTGATCAACAAGCGGCCGGACGGGTACAACTGGCCGGTGGACATCTGGAGTCTCGGTTGTACTGTCATTGAGATGGCCATGCGGGTTGTCGATAAGCGTCTGCGCATCCCTTGGCTTGACATCGAAGGCAAGCCGCCCTGGGGGGCGTCGCCCACTGACGGGGTGAGTCTGGTCAACTCAAGGGTCCGTCAGCATGTTAGGGTTTTCCACACACAAGCGTCTGCGCATCCCCTGGCTTGACATCGAAGGCAAGCCGCCCTGGGGGGCGTCGCCCACTGACGAGGTAAGCTGAACCGATGGGGGGTGAGGTTCTGAGTTGACTCAGGAGGCACCTTGCTAGGGCTGTCATGTACAAGCGTCTGCGCATCCCCTGGCTTGACATCGAAGGCAAGCCGCCCTGGGGGTCGTCGCCCACTGGCGAGGTGAGTTTCTTCTCTGGGGTGGAGTGCCTGTGCATCCCCTGACTGGACACAGGGGACAGGACGGCCCGCAAACCCGAAACCCCTATTGATGGGGTAAGGCTCTGAATCAACTCCCAGCAGTCAGCTTGTCATTCTGATGCACACGCGCCTGTGCAGCGCACCCCCTGGCTGGACACAAAGGGGCGTGTCGCCTCTCCCTCGCCTCTCCCTCGCCTCTCCCTCGCCTTGTCCTTGCCTCCCTCCCCGGCCCTCCCCTACCTTAGGTGATGGGTATCCTGCATAACCACAACCCCCCCGCCCATCCCCAGCCACCTCTCAGACTGCGCCAAGCACTTCCTCCACCACTGCCTTGCACTCAACCCCTCCTTCCCTCCCACCCTTCCCCTCTTCCCCTCCCCCAGATGGCGGCTATTCTGAGAATAGGCGGCACAACAACCCCACCGCCCATCCCCAGCCACCTCTCAGACTGCGCCAAGGACTTCCTCCGCCACTGCCTCGCTGTCAACCCCTCCCACCGCCTGCGAGCCCACAAGCTCATGCAGCATGTGTTTGTCGCAGGGCCAGTGCCCGTGGGGATGGGGTTGAGCAGTGGAGGCATGGGCAGTGGAGGCATGAGTAGTGGAGGCATGAGTTCGGGTCATTTGGACGCTCCTCGCTCCCCCAGGTAAGCCGATGCCCATGCCCATCCCATGCACCTCCTCCCCCTCCCATCGCCTGAGAGCACACAAGCTCATGCAGCATGTGTTCGTCGCAGCGCCAGTGGGCTCCAGTCCCATGCCCGTAGGGGTGGGGATGAGCGGGGCGGGCATGAGTGGCGGAGGGATGAGTGGGGGCATGAGTTCAGGTCATATGGACGCTCCTCGCTCCCCCAGGTAAGTCCATTCACCCCCCACCCTTGCTCCAAGTAAGCCCATGCACCCATCCTTGTTGCTTCTCCTGCTGCCACTTAATTGATCTTGTCCGCTCTTCTTTCTTTCATCCTGATTCTCCCCTCTCCCTCGGTTTTCATCCCACCTCTTCACCCTCTCTTGCCTCTCAACCCATTTCTCCCAGGTCGGTGTCCTCCCAGCCCTCCTATCCTTCCCCATGGGAGCAACCTTCGTACCATCAACAGCAGCAACAGCAACAGCAACAGCAGCAGTATCAGCAGCAGCAACAGCATCAACAACAACAGCAGCAGCACCAACAGCAGCAACAACAGCAGCAGCAGCAGCAACAGCACCTCAATTATCAGCAGCAGCAACACCCGTCTTGGCGCGATTCCGGTCCGATTCCATCCGGGCCTCCGTCCTCCATGCCTCCTTCCTCAGGCCCGGCGTTGTCCGGACCTGGCATGTACTCCGGCCCTGCTGCCGGACCTGGCAGGCACGGATGGAGGGACGACATGGCTGCCCGGGATTATAATGCCGGACCTCCGTATTTCCCAGGCTCGGCAGCAGGCTTGGTGGCCAACGGAGGTGGGAGAATGAGCCCACAGCATATGTACTCAAGGGGGCAAAACAGCAGTGAGTTTGGGCTAGAGGAAAGAGGAGGGGGAGGGGGAGGAGGGGGAGTGATACCACCTGCTAGGACCCGCAGCAGCCCAACTGTTGACCTGCGAGAGATGGCTGATCATGCTGAAGCTTTTCTCAATAATAACGCTGGTGCGAGTGGCGGGGGGTTTGCTGCTGGTGATGGGGCTGGTGCTACCAGAACCGGACCAGAGCCGCTGTTTGGTGGCAGTGGCATTGGCAGCGGCGGCGGTGGTAGGAGGGATCCAGAGCCTTTGTTTGGCGGCAGTGGCAGTGGCGGCGGCGGCAGGGGTGACCCAGAGCCTTTGTTTGGTGGCAGTGGCAGCGGTGTCGGCGGTGGTAGGAGGGATCCAGAACCTTTGTTTGGTGGCAGTGGCATTGGCGGTGTTGGTGTTGGTAGGGGGGACCCAGAGCCTCTGTTTGCAGCAGGTCCTGCAACTTCTGCTGCTGGTGGCAGTGTGGGTGGTTTGGCTGGTAATGGTGGTCCGGAGCCGTTGTTCCGAGGCTCGGGTGGCGGTTCGGGTCCCGAGCCTCTCTTCTCCGCCAGCAGCACTGCAGCTTCCAGCGCTAGTGGTAGAAGCCATTCAGGTTCGGGCCCCGAGCCTCTTTTCCCGAGCCAGGACAACCGGACCTCACCTCCTCCTCATCACCAGTACCAGCAGCAGCAGCAGATGCCTCTCGACCGCACACGCAGTCCCACATCTAATGAGTTACAACCCGTTGGAGGCACAGGCAGCAGCAGCAACAACAGTATTAATTACCCAGGCAAATCCCCGCCTAGAAGCAAGCCTAAATCCCTCTCCGGCCCTCTCACGCCGCCCCGCCGCCGCCCGAACAGAGAGTCAGGACGCACATACAGCCATGGAATGCCGGCCCTTCCAGACCAAGCAGCTTACCTGGAGGAGAGTGAAGGGGCGGGGGATCGGCCATATAGCGGTGGTGGGAGATCATTGGGGGGAGAGCAAGATGGGTATCCATCGTATGACCGAGAGAGAGAAAGAGAGAGGGAGCAGGATAGGGAAATGTGGGAGAGGGAGAGGGAGCGGGAGAGGGAGCGGGAGAGAGAGCGGGAGAGGGAAGGGTATAGCCATAGGCAAATGTCGTCTGGACCAGAGCCTGGTGCGTATGCTCCCACTGGTTCTCTTCCTTATCACCACCAGAACTCGCAGCAGCAGCAGCAGCAGCAGCAGCAGTATGGTGGGTTGGAACAACGGCAGTCTGTACAGGATCAGCCTATATCGAGACGATCTCCTGAGCCATCTTCCCCGCGATCACCCTCAAGCTACGGGCGGGCAAAGCCTTTGTTCCCCGATGGGGGCATGGGTGGGGGTGGGATTGGCAGTGGCAGTGGCAGCAGCAGCAGTAGCGGTGGTGGGTTTGGTGCTGGTGGTGGGGGTGGTGGTGGGGGTGGAGGGATGTATGGGGGCCCACATGGCCTTTCTCCTCCACCTCCGCAGATGGTTGCTAGGGGGAGTAGTGCAGATGGGTATGGCAGTGGTGGAGATGGGTATGGCAGTGGTGGGGATGGGTATCGCAGTGGTGGCGATCAGTTTGGTGGTGGAGGGCCAGTGGGGCATTGGAATCAGAGGTAAGAGGGTCGTTTTATGCCTTCTCTTGTTTGTTTTTGTCTCCTTTCTGACTTTTCTTGTTTTCTTATGTCTTCTTTCTGTCTCCTCTTGTTTCCCAACTCATCATTTTCCTCATCCCTCCTCTCTTCTCCACCTCCCTTCCCTTCCCCACCCATCACCCTGAGCAGAGACGTTTCCCCCCACCGAGCTTCCTCCCTCTCCATCCCCCCACACGACCGCCCCCACAACTTCCCCTTGCAAGGCCCCCACACGGCTCCCTTGCACCAGTCACCCAGCCAGTACCCCTACTCTTCCCAGCAAAACCCATACCACCACCCCCAACCGCAGCAGAACCCCTCTTACCCCCAGCGGCCTTACGACCACTACCCCCCGCCGCCGCCTAACCAATACTCGCAGCAGATGTGGCAGGGTGGGGGGGGGGGAGGAGGGGGAGGAGGGGGGGCAGGGGGAGGAGGGGGGCGGATGGGGGGTGGGTGGGAACAGGGGGCAGAGGGTATGGGTGGGTATGGGTCTTCAGCTCAAGTCTCTGGTGCTGGTGGTGGGGGTTATTCTGGTGGTATACGGGGGGACATGAGAGGAGGTATGGGCCCAGGCATGGTAGCAGGTTCGGGATCAGGTATGGGTCAAGGTTCAAGGCCAGGTTCGGGAGCTGGTCTGGGCTCTGGACCAGGCCCAGGTCTGGGACCTCAGGGTTTCAATGGTGGTGGCGGCGGTGGTGGTGATCGTGGTCATGGGAGTGGCACTGGTGGTGGGTATGGTGGTGATTATATGGGGCAGCCTGTTGGGCTAGGGGGGATTGGAAGAACTCTCTCCACAGGGGAGTGGGAGCAGCGGCAGCATTCGAATCAGTACATGAACCAAAGCTACAGTAACGCGCCGATATCAAATAGTTACAATGTGGGTGGAGGAGCTGGGGGAAGGTATAGTAATGGTCCAGGTTCAATGTATGGAGGCGGAGGACGTGGGGGTTCCCCGGTTCCTCCTCAGCAGTACATGCAGCAGTCGCACTGGCAACAGCCTGGGCCTGAGCAGTTACGGGGCTCGGGAGGAAGTGGTAACGTTGGTAACAGCGGGGATTTAAGCGGGACAGGATCTGCATGGCAGCAGTACCAGGCTAGAAGGGCATCGCATGGTATGCACCCACAGCAGCAACACCAGTGATTTGCCGTAGTATTTATTTCTAGCTAAGTCGTGAAGAACGATGTCATGTAGCGTTTTGAGAATCGAAAAGGAAATTGGGAAGTGTCATGTCACAATATCTGTGGTGTTCGTCATCATGATGTTATTCGCCTGTGAAGTGAAATTGTCTGATCTTGTATTTTATATCATACCGTACGCTTGTTGTCGCCCTCAGTTTCAGTCCCTTTGATTGCCCTGTATGTAACGTGCGGCATTCTCAAGGCTCGCGGAACTCGCGAATCTAGCACAGCCCTCGCCCTCGAATTGCTCTTGCAGAACGGGTGTCCCATCGGGTTCAATACTGCATACAACCCTTCTGTAACCGTTATTGACCACTCTAGAACGCGAAACACCTTATGGAGCCGCATCCCGAGTCCCGAAGGATTTCAGCAGCACACAAATCAAGCAGCCTCCTTGCCGTCTAGTGCCTGCAGTTGTTTCTTTGTTGTTAGTTCTTGAATTTGCAACACCCCGCGGAGCTTTCTCTTCATATCTCTCCCGGCGCATCGCTGCGTCGTGCAGGCCTCCTTTCTTGACCGAAAATTCGCGTGTTAGACTACGTGCATATTTTGTTTTTCCTCCGTTTGCGAATCCACGCGAGATATGGCGGGAATCCGTGCCGCGTTCCTCCCGCTGCTGCTTCTCGCCGGCCTTACCGCGTGCGCGGGATTCTCCGCCAGGCCGTTCTTTCCCGGCGTATCTGTTGAAACTCCCCAAAAGGGATTCTCCGCCAGAACGTTATTTCCTGGCGTCCTTCGCCTGCCGTTGGCTGACGTGGCAGAGCCTCAGCAACTGCTGCTGCAGCAGCAGCAACAGCAAGACGCCGACGCGGAAAATGACGGCACCGGCAGCCGCAGCAGCAGCAGGTTTGGACTGAGAGGAAGCGGCTCCTTTCTTGCGAGAGACGCGGTTGATACTTCGCAGAGGCAGGAGCCGCAGCTGCCGAATCAGAAGGAGAAGAAGCTGAAGCTGAAGCAGCCTCCCCCGTGTAAGCAGCCTGCAACCATCCCCCAGATAAGAGCCTTTTCCTGGGTAAACATTCTTCTGTACTGGAAAAAGACAAGAGAGAGAGAAAAAGAGACAACTGTAGCAAAAAAAAGTAGTATTTGCTTTCAAAACCTCACGTCTAGCATGTTTCTTCCGTTATTTCTTCTGCTCTTTCTTTTGGTCGAGTGTGCTTACAGCGCAGGGAGTGGCGTACCGTGCAGTGCCTGATCCCGACCTCGCAAGCCCCCCGTTTGAGTCACCCTACACGGCCCCTGACATTCCCTTGGACTATCACCAGCAGAACGGCACCAACTACCCCGAGCAGGTCAGTCAGTTGTCTGGATGCCGTTAGCACTCCCGTTTGAGTCACAACCTACACGGACCCGAGGAAGGGCTCCTGACATTCCCTTGGTTGAACCACCACCAGCAGAACGGCACTAACCACCCCGAGCAGGTCTGGTTGCTACAGCGGGAATGAGCGTGTTTGCTGCTAGCAGGTGAGTCTGGCTGTTATTGGCAGACGAATGTTGAGTCAACCTACACGGCTCCTGACATTCCCTTGGTTGGACTACCGCCAGCAGAACGGCACTAACCACCCCGAGCAGGTCAGCCTGCTCTATGCATGATCCTAGCACTCCCTCTTGAATAAGGTTCACAGATGCACGTTTGAATCACCCTACACGGCTCCTGACATTCCCTTGGTTGGACTACCACCAGCAGAACGGCACTAACCACCCCGAGCAGGTGCTTCTCGCCCCAGATTCTCCCAATGGTCTGTTCGTGTTTGTATGGTGCAGCATCCCCAGCACCATGCCATTTGGCCCATGCGAGATGAAGCACCAGTTGTCCCAACTTATGCTTTCTTCTCCCCCACCTTTTCTCCTCCCACCCTCACCCTTCTTCTTCCTCAGGTGTTTCTCGCCCCGGCTTCTCCCGATGGTCTTTTCATGTTTGTACGGTTTGTCATCCCCAATATCATGCCGTTAAACGCATGCGAGAAGAGGCACAAGCTGCCCATGCTTATGCGCTCTTCACCCCTCTTCCCTCCACCCTCCACCCTCCCCCCTCCCTTTTCTCTGCCCAGGTGCTTCTCGCCCCAGCTTCTCCCGATGGTCTTTTCATGTTTGTACGGTTTGTCATCCCCAACATCATGCCGTTAAGCGCATGTGAGAAGAGGCACAAACTTCCAATTGACCTGCTCACGGAACTAGGGGAAGAGGCAGGGCGTGTCATCAAGTCTAGTGAGGGGAAAGCAGGTGTGGGGGAGGAGGAAGAGGACGAGAAGGACGCGAAGGAGGGGGAGGGAGGAGAAGAAGAAGGGGAGGAGGGGGAAGAGAGGGAGGTGGAGGGGGGTTTTGTGGAAGGCGGGATGGATGCGAGCAAGTGCAGGCGCAAGCGCTCTGTGCTTTATGGCACGGACCCCAACGCCCTCAACCAGTCAGCAAGGTGCAGCAAGATCCATGTGCTAACTAAAAATTGGAAAGGCAAACTTTGTTCATCTGCGCAAGCGCTCCGTGCACTATGGCACAGACCCAAATGCCCTCAACCAATCGGCCAGGTGGGGTAGGATCCATGTGTACACACAGACCTAAAAGGTACTCTATTCATCTCAATGAGCAGGCGCAAGCGCTCCGTGCACTATGGCATGGACCCAAGCGCCCTCAACCAGTCAGCAAGGTGGGGCAGGGTCCACATGTACACCTAATATGGGAGGGTAACTTGGTTGGTTCGCCTCAATGTGGAGGAGCACAACCCAACACTCTTAACCAGTTGGTCAGGTAGGGCACATTTCAACCTTACACCTTAAATGGGAGGGTAACTTGGTTTGCCTCAATCTGCAGCCGCCCTCCTTCCCTTCCCCCCCTTTTTTCCCCTCCGTCCCTTCTTTCCTCCCCCCTGTTATGACCAGTGGTTATTCCTTCTACTATGCATTCGCAGAGGGCACAGACGGAGCATACGTGTCGGAAGATACATTCTTCATCCCCATCGGCCTGCTCCTCCCCTTCTTCCCTGTTCCACCGCCCCCCTCTTTTTCCTTCCTCTCTCCTGCTGCCACCACCAGTGGTCGTTCCTTCCGCTATGCCTTTGCAGAGGGCACAGACGGAGCATACGTGTCGGGAGATACATTCTTCATCCCCATCGGCCCACTCGTCCCCGCAACGCGCTACTTCTATCGAATCGACGGCTCCCCAACCACCCACTCCTTCACCTCGCTTCCTGCCCCTGGCTCTGCTTCCGCCTACCCGTTCAAAGTCGCACTTGTGGGTGAGTCGTGAGTCGTGAGTCTGTTTTTCGCCCTGGGGTATGTGGCCTCCACCACCCACCCTCTCGTTCCCCTCCCTTCCACGCGCTACTTCTACCGAATCGAAGGCTCTCCCATCACACACTCCTTCGTGTCACTCCCTGCCCCTGCCTCTGCTCTGCTTCTGCCCCGGTCAAAGTCGCACTTGTGTGTGTTTGTAATTGGAGGGTGCTTTTGCGTCTTCCAGTTGACTGCTTCAACCCGTCAGCCTGCTCCACCCCTCCACTTGTGGTGAGTCTGTTTCTCACTTATGTAACAACTCCTTTTTTACCATGAGGCTCAGACGCTCAGCAGCAGCACCACCACATTTGACCGTGTCAAAACTTCACTGTCTACACTCAGACGCTCCCTGGCCCCTGTCAATGAGGCTCATGCGCTCAGCAGCAGCGCCATATTTGACCATGTCAAAGCCCACAGCTCCAGCCTGGTGCTGCTCGCATGCTGAATGTTCTTCCCCTCCTCGTTTTGGTCTCCATTGCCCCGATCCGCCAGGCGATGTGGCTCAGACGCTCAGCAGCAGCGCCACATTTGACCATGTCAAAGCCCACAGGTCCAGCCTGGTGCTGCTCGCAGGGGAGCTGAGTGCTCGCCTCCCGTCCTCTTTCCCCTCTTTTTCCATCTGGCCTCCCTCCTTCTCTTCCCCGTGCCCTGTCCCCATGGCCCCTCTCCTTCTTCAGGCGATGTGGGTCAGACGCTCAACAGATGCACCACATTCGACAACGTGAAAGCCGGCAACCCCAGCCTGGTGCTGTTCGCGGGGGACCTGAGCTCTTCCGCCTCCTGCTTCCCACCTCACCTCTATCCCCTCTGCCCTCCATGCCATAATTGCCCCACATCCTCCCCGCCAGGCGATGTGGGTCAGACGCTCAACAGCAGCACCACATTCGACAATGTGAAAGCCGGCAGCCCCAGCCTGGTGCTGTTTGCGGGGGATCTTAGCTACGCTGACCAGTACGGCCCACCGCACTGCACACCTATGGACTCTGCTCAATCTCTCCTGACTGCTGATTCTCCTGAGGCTGGCGGAAAGAGCGAGAGCGAGAGGGAAAGGACGAGCAAGATATGTGGGCTGGGAGGGGTGCGCTGGGACTCCTACGGCCGCTTGTCCGAGAAAGTATTCGCCCATATCGTAAGTTCCTCTGCGAGCCTTGGTGCATCTTGTGTGTTTTTCCTGTCACCCGCACTGAGGAGAGGATCCCTCTTGGGAGGAGCAAGATTTGTGGGCTGGGCGGAGTGCGCTGGGACTCCTATGGCCGCTTGTCCGAGAAAGTATTCGCCCATATCGCCCAGGTATCGTAAGTTCTTCTGAAGTTCTTCGCCCAAATCGCCCAGGTATCGTAAGTTCCTCTGCGAGCACGATTTTGAGAATTTTCAAATGCGGCACGATTCTTGGTGCATCTTGTGCCATTCTTTTTCATAAAGAGCTTCCAGCACTGCTATGTTTCACAAGAAATGTTCCTTTATGGAAAATGCACCAAGATGTTCTTGTGACGCAAAGAATCTCCAGCACTGCTATCCTCGCCTGCCGCTGCCACATGTAGCTTATGCTAATACATGCATATACATATATGTATATATATACAAATACAAATACAATAACAAAAACAAAAACGATATTCAAGGTGTCCCATCTGTACGTACTCTCCTCGCCTGCTGCTGCCAGCCTGTGGCGCACGTCCCAGGGAACCATGAGATCGAGCTCGTGCCGAGGTGGGGCGAGCTGCGGCCATTCAAAGTGTATTCTGCACGAATCCCCCCTCTGCTGCACCACCACCACCCGCTGCTGGCGAGCCTGCTGTCCAAGGTGAGGGCTGTGGGTTGTGGCTTCTCATAGCGCTGAGAGCTGTCGTTGCAGCTCGCTAAAATGCGTCTCATCTACTCCTTGGACATTCCACCCTCTTATGTATTTCCTCGCCCTTTCATTTCTTGCTTCACCCCCTCGTGGTATCAGGCAGGATCAATCTTTCTCATTACCACCACCATCATCACCACCACCATGCATACCCCTTTCCACTCTTTGTTGTGTGTCCCTATCTCCTTCAAATTCCTTTTGATCAGCACCACCACCATGCGTAACCATCCAAGGCGTGTCTCTTTTACTCCATGGACATCGGCTCCTCTTCTAGGTGTGTTTTGAGTCGACTCAAAACGCTTCCGAGAGCCACTTTTCTCTTATGCGTCCCTCTCTCCTCCATCCCTCTCTCCTCCATCCCTCTCTCCTCCATCCCTCTCTCCTCCATCCCTCTCTCTCGCCTTGCCTCACCCGTTTGGTATCAGGCCGGACTTACTCCCAACCACCATCACCATCATCATCACCACCATGCGTACCCGGCCAAGGCACCGCTCTTCTACTCCATGGACATCGGCCCCGTGCATGTGATCGCCATCAACTCCTACTCGCCCTTCGTTATCTACACGCACCAGGTAATGTGGGGTGGTGTCTGTCATGTGGTGTGGTGTGGTATGGTGTGGTGTGATTCAGTGCGGTGCAGTGTGGCGTGGTGTGGTAACTAGCCTCTCTTCTACTCATTGGACATCGGCCCCGTGCATGTGATTGCTGTCAACTTCTACTCGCCCTTCGTTATCTACACGCACCAGGTAATGTGTGGTGTGGTGTGGTGAGGTGTGCTGTGCTGTGCTGTGGTGTGGTGTGGTGTGGTGTGGTGTGGTGGTGTGTGGTGTGGTTCTGTGTGGTGTTGTAACTAATCTTTTCTACTCTCTGGACATCGGAACTGTGCATGTGTTCGCAATCGTCTCCTACTCGCCTTTCGTTATCTACACGCACCAGGTAGCACAGTTAGATGCAAGGGACAGGCATATGGTGTTGTGAGTAGTTGGGTGCACTGTGGTGTGGTGCAGTGCTGTGTGGTGTGGTGGTTCCACTCTTCTATTCCCTTGGACATCGGCCCAGTGCACATGATCGCTATCAACTCCTACTCGCCCTTCCAGATCTACATGCACCAGGAAGGATGGGGTGTGGTGTGGTGAGGTGCGGTGTGGCATGGTTCAGTGTGGCGTGGTGTGGCGTGGTGTGGTGTGGTGTGGTGGGGTGGGGTGGGGTGTGGTGGGATGGGGTGGGGTGGATGTGTACTCTCACTTAGTAGGTCTGGGGTGTGTTGGATAGGATAACCAAGAAGCTAAGGTCGTTCGATTCGATTCGTACTAATTTTCCTCTTTTGCATCTTGTGTGTCAACCCCATGCCACGTGGCACAGTGGTACTGGCTGCGGGACGACCTGTGCCGCATCGACCGCAAGAAGACCCCGTGGGTGGTGGCGTTCATGCACGTGCCTCTCTACAACAGCAACGACGGGCACTACCTGGAGGTGAGGCTGTAGCTGCTGTGTGTGCTTGTCACAGCTGGATAGGTCGGCTACCCAACCGGTACCTGTGCCACTGTCAAGTGCGTGGGTTGTGGCGTTCATGCATATGCCTCTCTGCAACAGCAACGACGGGCACTACCTGGAGGTGAGGCTGTAGCTGCTGTGTGTGCTTGTCACAGCTGGATAGGTCGGCTACCCAACTGGTACCTGTGCCACTGTCAAGTGCGTGGGTTGTGGCGTTCATGCATGTGCCTCTCTGCAACAGCAGCGACGGGCACTACTTGGAGGTACGGGGTGTGCCAGGTGCATGTGGCAGTTACATGGAGTGAGTAACCACTTCTTGTGACACTATCAAGTGGGCCGTGGCGTTCATGCACCTGCCTCTCTGCAACAGCAGCGACGGGCACTACCTGGAGGTACGGGTGTGACAGTGGCATGTGAATTTGACAGCTGCATATACCATCTGCAGGGGACAACTGTAGCCAACAGGTGCCTAAAGTGCTGAACTAGCTTCTTGGTTCTGTGTGTGTGTGTGTGTGTGTGTGTGTGTGTGTGTGTGTGTGTGTGTGTGTGTGTGTGTGTGAAATTTTGCTGTTCCTGCCGTCTCCCCTGTTCCCCTTTGCCCACCTATATTTTTCTTCTCAGGGCGAGCCTATGCGGTACGAGATAGAAGAGTGGTTGCACGAGGCAGGGGTGGATCTGGTGGCGAGCGGGCACGTGCATGCGCATGAACACATTACCCCATGCATGGCAGATGGTCAAGCAAGCTGCATCATGTCCCATGCATGCCCGTTCCGCCCTTTCACCACCTCAGGGTGAGCCAATGCGGTACGAGATAGAAGAGTGGTTGCACGGGGCAGGGGTGGATCTGGTGGCGAGCGGCCACGTGCATGCATACGAGCGTAGCTACCCCGTGTACGGGATGAAGCGCATGGAGAACGGGTGTGCCGCCGTGCATGTGACAGTTGGAGACGGAGGCAACATTGAAGAGATCGCCGGCCCGTGAGTGCTCTTTGTTATGCTACAAGCACAGTTGCGCTGTCTATCATGGCATGAAGAGGATGGAGAATGGGTGTGCCGCCGTGCATGTGACCGTGGGGGATGGTGGCAACATTGAAGAGATCGCTGGCCTGTGAGTGCTCTTGCTCTCCATTACTATCAGCTTCTTTACTGGATCTGGGGTGGATGTGGTGGGGGTGTTTTGAGGCGCCACAGAAGCTCCGTAACGGGCGGATCTGGTGGCGAGTGGGCACGTGCATGTGTGCGAGCGCAGCTACCCCGTGTGTGGCATGAGGAGGCTTTTCAAGTGAAATTTGAGAATTCTCAAAAGTGAGTCAACCAGACCCCTCTGACACCCCTCGTGTGAGGAGCACATTCTTTAAGTGCCGTTTTTTTGTTTTGTTTTTTGTTTGATCCTGTGCAGTTTCCTTGAGCCGCAGCCGTCGTACAGCGCGTATCGTGAGGAGTCGTTTGGGCATGCTGAGCTGGTGTTTAACGACAATCACACTGCCACCTACAGCTGGTGTGTTCCCTTTGTTGCCCCGAGATCTTCTGTTCTCCAACGACTAAGGATCTGCTTTTTCAGAATTCTCAAAGAAATCCTGTTCTCCTTAGTCGACTAAGGATCAACTCTGATATCATTCGACAAAGGGAACAAAAGTTAGTGTTTTCTCTTTCTTCTTTCTCTTTCTCTTTCTGTTCATTTCCTTTGTGCTGCTGGTGGCTATTTTTGTTGCTCCACGTGCGCAGGTACCGCAACCACCAGGGATCGGGCGTGCTCGCGGATTCCTTCACGCTTCTCAATCGCGCCAACAGCTGCGGCGGCCTTCGCCGCCCGTCCTTCTGCTCCTCCTAGTCTAGGACTAGAAAGTACGGGGATAGAAGCAGTGTGGTGTAGACGAACAATCTGAGGACTTATGAGTCTCAAAAGTCTATCCCCGACTCAAAAGTCTCCTAGCCTGGGACTAGAAAGTATGGGGATGCCGTAGAAACAGTGTGGTGTGGACGAACAATCCGACTCCAGTTTGGTGTGCTAGCTGATTCCTTCACTCTTCTTACCTTCGTGCCAACAGAAGCGGCAGCCTCAGCCGCCCTCCCGCCTGCTCCTACCAGCTCGAGGTGACTGTTCAGTCGACTCGAGAATCCGTTTTTTTTTTTTTTTTTTTTTTTTTTTTTCTGAATACGGAATGTGGAGATATAAACAGAAAGAGGGAGTTCCCCAGAGGGCCGTTCCACCGCCCGCCCTTGTGTTACTCCAGCCTGGGAAAAATGTTATTTGGGAATACCGTAAAAACAGTTTGCTACTTTCCCCCCCCTTTACCGTATCCTTTTATTCCCCTTAGGACCCCTTTCCGCCGCCCTCGCCACGCCACTCTACCCTTCCCTAGTGTTGCCTTAGCCCCTTCACTAGCTCGTTTAGTAGACCACCCCTTATGCCCTACCGTACCCTAGAACCTGATGGGATGAAACACGCAGTACGCTGCTGGCAAGTCACACTTGAGCTTTATTGAAAGAGAAGGTTAGTGTTACATTCCGAATGTAAATGAAACAAGGCCTGAGTAAAGCCTTCCGTTTGTGCTGCGCAGTTCATCAATAAGCCTGTTCCAATTCGATCCCAGGGACCCAATAAAATAGTCACATTCGGAAGTAATGAGCAGATTGGCGAAAATGTTTGCTATTGGTTGCTGGGCATTTTCCTGCTCGTTTTTCATTTGCTGCGCACTCTGCACTCTAGAGGCGTTGGTGTAGAAAAACGTCCAGCCAGGATAATCGCCGGTCTCGTCGATTACAGACTGCGAATGGGGAGGAGCAGCGCGTCAGGGGGGAAGAAGGATGTTGGCGGGAAGAAAACATAATGGAGGTGGTTCAATTTTAGTTATAGAAAATAAAGAAGAGACAATCACTTGGAATATTTTCCAAGTTTTCCCCTCCCTTCCTCTCACCTGCACTTCAGTGCTCAGCCAAACGTGCTTCAGATCCGGCTGGTGCTCTCTCTCTCAGGCACCCACGAGCAGAAACGCTGGCAATGGGTGGAAGCTCACACACCTCCCTCTTTTCCCTCTCTCACCCATGTTACCTCGCTCTCTCCCTCCTCTCCTCACCTGCACTTCCTCCCCTTCCCCTCCTCTCACCTGCACTTCAGTGCTCAGCCAAACGTGCTTCAGGTCCGGTCGGTGCGCTCTCAGCCAAGCAGCCATAAGCATGAACGCTGGCAGCAGGTGAGGCTCCATCTCAGGCCCTTTGTCTCTCGGCCGCACATGCATTTGCATCCCTGACTTCTCACCTGCACTTCAGTGCTCAGCCAAACGTGCTTCAGGTCCGGCCGGTGAGCTCTCAGCCGGGCAGCCATGAGCATGAACGCCGGCAGCGGGTGAAGCTCCATCTCAGACCCTTTGTCACTCAGCCGCACATGCACGCTCACCACTGGCCGCACCATCTGCACCTCCCCCCCCACCCCTGTGTCTGCACTTCCCCCCTCCCTCGTCTGCCCACTTTCCATGCCTGAGCATCCAGTAACCCCTTTCATTGGCCAGATATGCGACTGCAACGACTGTACACGTGTCGCGCTGCCATTCGCTGCAAGGATCTCCCTCCCTGTTTCCCGTGCCTTGGCTGCAACCAGGAGCAGCAGATCGTCCAGCGGATCTCCTATTTCTGCTGTTGAGCTGGCAGCTGACGTGGCCGCTGAGCTGGCATCTGACGTGGCTGCTGAGCTGGCACCCGAGGTGGTGTTCAGCGATTCGATGATGCTCGCCTGCTGGGCAGCGACTGCTGCCACACGATCGGCCATGATGCGGCCGTAGCTGACGTGGCGGACGTGGTTGATGATGTGGCAGAGATGAGCAGACGGCCAGCGGAGCAAGAAACGGGCGGCTTGAGCTCGCCACCACCGAGCCTGGTGGGGGGAGAGAGGCGGCGGAGAGGCGGGGTGGGGGGAGAGAGGCGGGGGGTGGGGGGAGAGAGGCGGGGAGGGGAAGGGCAGAGGGTTGGGGGGGGAGGAGAGAGAGAGGATGCGGAAATACAACTTCCGGGGTGCATCAGGATTAACCGATCTCTCATCATGCAGTGATGCACCTTCCATCATGCAGTGATGCACATACCATCATGCAGTGATGTTGACAGCCTCAATGTAACACATACCATCATGCAGTGATGTTGGTAGTCTATTTGTAACACATACCATCATGCAGTAATGCACACACCATCATCCACCCACCATCATGCACACACCATCATCCACCCACCATCATGCACACACCATCATCCACCCACCATCATGCACACACCATCATCCACCCGCCATCATGCACATACCATCATCCAGTCTGGATAAATGCTCGAGATGGAGTTTTGCTGTTTAACGGTGTAAGGCCGCTTATGAGACGCCTCAAAATTAATGTACACACCATCACCCTCTACCCACCATCATCCAGTCCGGGTACATGCTCGGGATGGAGTTTTGCTGTTTAACAGTGTAAGGCCGATCCAGCCATGGTTTGCCCAGTTGCCTGCCATGGGGGTATATATTGTTACCATCATCCACACCCCATAATGCACATACGATCAAGGACAGAACCAACGTAACCGTTATGGGGAACACAAACGAAGAAAATCCACATCGCAACAACATTGTTTTGAAAGCTTTGTGGCTTTGATTACCTGCAAGTCCTCTCGTCTCTTATGAGACATTTAATATACCGATTCAACGTTTCTACTCTGCAGTACGACAGTTTGGCAGCATCAACGTCCCCATAGGGAAATGAGGTGACTTTTGAGTTGCCTGTACAGTAATCTCTCTCACTCATCTCTTCCACCAATCTCTCCCACTCACAGTTTGGCAGCATCAACGTCCCCATAGAGCGATGAGAGTGCGAGGTAGACCACCTGCATGGCATGGGATGAGCAGGAATGGCATGCCATGGCATGGCATGGCATGGAAAGGAGCGGCATGGAATCAGTGCTTGGCAGCATGAACGTCCCCATAGAGGGATGAGAGTGCGAGGTAGACCACCTGCATGGCATGGCATGGCGGCGCGGCACGACATAGCAAGACATGGAAACGAATGGCAAGACATGGAAACGAATGGCAAGACATGGAAACGAATGGCAAGACATGGCACGAAATGAAATAGCATGGCACGCCATGGCATGGCATGGCATGGCATGTCCTCTCACGTCCTCCCCATGGATATCCACTGCTTCAATACACCCATTCGACTTGCTTAGTAGCGCACAAATAACAAATCAAGCACGTAGCAATCAACCAGTAACCCCAATCGGAAAAAAAACAAAAAAAAAAACAAAAACAAAAAAAACAAACAAACAAAGCACAAAACAAAATCACCTGTGTGTCGCCAGCCAGCATGCTCTCTCGCACGTCATCACCACGGATATCCGGAGCCTCGCCCCTCTCATACACTGCCATGGCCGCATGCACACATGCAGGGGCTTCTGAGAACGCTCACAAGAACCCCACACAAGAACCCCACACAAGAACCCCACACAAGAACCCCACACAAGAACCCCACACAAGAACCCCACACAAGAACCCCACACAAGAACCCCACACAAGAACCCCACACAAGAACCCCACACAAGAACCCCACACAAGAACCCCACAAGGACCCCACACAAGAACCCCACACAAGAACCCCACAAGGCCCCCACACAAGAACCCCACACAAGAACCCCACAAGGCCCCCACACAAGAACCCCACACAAGAACCCCACACAAGAACCCCACACAAGAACCCCACACAAGAGCCCCACAAGGCCCCCACACAAGAACCCCACACAAGAACCCCACACAAGAACCCCACACAAGAACCCCACACAAGAACCCCACACAAGAACCCCACACAAGAACCCCACACAAGAACCCCACACAAGAACCCCACACAAGAACCCCACACAAGAACCCCACACAAGAACCCCACACAAGAACCCCACACAAGAACCCCACACAAGAACCCCACACAAGAACCCCACACAAGAACCCCACACAAGAACCCCACACAAGAACCCCACACAAGAACCCCACAAGGCCCCCACACAAGAACCCCACACAAGAACCCCACACAAGAACCCCACACAAGAACCCCACACAAGAACCCCACAAGGCCCCCACACAAGAACCCCACACAAGAACCCCACACAAGAACCCCACACAAGAACCCCACACAAGAACCCCACACAAGAACCCCACACAAGAACCCCACACAAGAACCCCACACAAGAACCCCACACAAGAACCCCACACAAGAACCCCACACAAGAACCCCACACAAGAACCCCACACAAGAACCCCACAAGGCCCCCACACAAGAACCCCACACAAGAACCCCACACAAGAACCCCACACAAGAACCCCACACAAGAACCCCACACAAGAACCCCACACAAGAACCCCACACAAGAACCCCACACAAGAACCCCACACAAGAACCCCACACAAGAACCCCACACAAGAACCCCACACAAGAACCCCACACAAGAACCCCACACAAGAACCCCACACAAGAACCCCACACAAGAACCCCACACAAGAACCCCACACAAGAACCCCACACAAGAACCCCACAAGGCCCCACTCACCTGTGTGTCGCCAGCCAGCATGCTCTCTCGCACGTCATCCCCTCGAATATCCGGAGCCTCCCCCCTCTCATGTGCTGCCATGGCCTCTTGCACACATGCAGGGGAGGCGATGGGAAAGAAGTAGCACTCCCACTGCTGCGCCTGGCGCAGGTCTTCGGGGGGTTGGGGGAGGGGGGAAGTGGGGAAGTGGGATGGGGGAGGTGGGATGCGGGAGGAAGGGTGGAGATACAGGAAGATGGGGAAGTAGCACTCCCACTGCTG